ATCCCTACATTTGCTTACCTCTTCATCTACAATGGAATTTCCACCCATACCAGGATTTCTGTATATATCCTTCCACAATCCACAAGTCAAGCACTACGTATACTCATTTCCTGGCACAAATTCAAAAAATGCAACTTTAAAGCTGGAGTTGAGCAAAGAATAAAGACATACTCCTCGTTGCTTTTTATAGTGACTATGGAATCATTCTGCAAGCAGAATAATATGTGATGTTCCTGCTCCATGTTATTCCTTTCATTAAAATCAAATCAAAAGAAAATGTTGAAAGAATAATTTCACCATCAAAGCCACATTCCCAAAAAGAGGACAACTAGGACAGAAACTTGTGAACTTCAGTGGGGCTCTAAAGAAATAATGACAGCACCCACACATAGCCAGTGGCTGGGTGCTTTAGTTAAGATAAACAGGGGGCCCACTAAAAGGGGTAAAAGTCTTGGAATTGAGGTTGTGCCAGGTGGCTCCGCTGCTAGTCGGCTCAGATCATTCAGGCTTTGTCTTAGGTAGGGAGGTGAAGGACAAAAAAAACAGAGTGTTTGATGTAAAGAATGTGGCCCAGATTGGTGGTCAGGTTCTCTTTTTCCCCTCTACTGACACCAAATAGTGATCGACCAAATGGCCTGGGAATTTATGATGGTGATACTAGCCAAGATGGTCTTTGGCTCTCAACTGAGAACACTTATAGGTTGTGACACAACCACAAATTTCACTCCTAAACATTTTGAAAGAGTTCTCAAGTTATGGAGAGCTATCCAATTTTAAACAAAACGCTGACAAATCCGAGATCTTGAGTGTCTCTGCACAGGAGACTGATTTGCTACAGAGACAGTTTCCAAGATCAGATTAAATATCTAGGAATATGCAACGTTAACTTCCTCTAATTCCTCAAAAATGCAAAGTTAACTTCCTCTAATTTCTTGGTTTGGGTGTATGAAAGATCTGAAAATGAATGCCCTGCCTATCACAATCCCCAGGGCCTTCTTTACTCTGTTAAGGCAACTGTTTCTGAGCTATGCAGTGGAATGGAGGTTAAGGTTTGACTTCAGAGGTGTGTGGGTTTACCTTCTGTAACATGCTACTACAATGCTATACAACTGCTGCGAGTAATTGATTGACACCACAAAAGAGCACATCATAACTGGCTAGCCTTGGGCACTGAGGAATCAGGGGAATCCCTGCCAGTGTTGGCCTGTCTTCACGGTAATCACTGTACCCTAACACTCAGAGAACACCCTACAAGAGTAGCCACTCTACGAGTGTGTAGTTTTTTCCACTTCAAAATGGATCTCACAACAATCCCATGTCCAATGCTTCAGATGATACATAACCCAGACGTACCCGGGAGTCTGCCCCATGGTGTGGTGGCTAGGAGCAAGGGAGGGGAACCACAGTGCCTGAAAAACGTTTGCCAAGTTGATGACCTAAAATGAATAGAATCCCTTTTGGAGGAGAGAGCACCCAACCCATTAGGATGGTACAGATACCTTCAGTATCAACACTACTATATGGCCCTGACCCCAACACACAATGCACACAGGGATCTCACAGGTTTCGAGCAGTTGTACCAGGCAGGTGAACACTTTGGTAGTAGTATCTTGACACTCTACAAGCTTCTCTTATTATTATTATTGGTATTTATATAGCAGTGGCTTATTCCGCAGCACTTTCTCTTAATTGTAATGACTCTCCCACCCCTACAATTTACTGCCATCTGGAGGATGTTTTCTGATAAGCAGTGGTAGGATATGTTTCTGTTAGCTCAATCCTCAATAGACACTAAGATTCAAGAAATTAACTACAAATCGATGACTAGATGGTATAGAACTCCTTTAGCCCTAAGCAAATTCAATCCATTGGTATAGAGAGAATGCTGGCAGTGCTGGGAGTGAGAGGGAACCTTTCTTCATTTGTTGTGAAACTGCTCACAAATAGCACCTCATTGGAGATTAGTTCATGAAGAGATAACCAAGATAATGGGGGGGAACCACCATTCTATTGCCACATACAAAAAGAGTATTGCCAGACATTTACTCAATGTATTTAAAGCCCTAATCCCATTTCTTTGTGATATCCACCCTGCAATAGTGGGTGGGAGACCAGTCAGTGCTGACACTTAAAGGATTTATAGGCACCCAGACCACTTCAGCTCAATGAAGTGGTCTGGGTGCCAGGTCCATCTAGGGTTAAAAAGAATGTTCCAAGAGAAAGGAACCAAGGTGTGTTGGATTACCCTTGAAAATGCGAGCATAGAGTTAAAAATGAAGATTAAGGAATCCCAAAGTGCCACCTCATGAAATTCTGTGTACAGCACATATAAACAGGGATATATAAAAGACAATACCCTTACTTATATCCAATGCTAATGTATGGGAAAATCATTTATTAATGCTAGGATAAGTAAGGAGTGGTATATCTACTAAATGTCTCTAAAAGATACAATGTTGTTGGAGGAAGATAGTAATTGAAATTCACAAACGAGGTAGAAATGACTACTAGAGTTTAAACTGTATCAAGAGTGGGATAATGTACATAGGGTTATTACAATAGTAGAAAAATGTACCCACTGTACGTGTATATCCTAAAATACCTGGGCACCCAAAAGAGAAAATTAATATACTTATAAGTTGCCGGTAGCTAGTGTACCCTATACCTGAAAGATAACATAAATAAGCCCTAAGAAAACCATGCAAAATAAAGTGAGTTAAAAGGTGAGAGAAGCGTACAAGACGCCCGACGCGCGTTTCGGCGCTACTACAATGCACCTTTGTCCGGGGCTAATGTCTCTCGGAACATTCTTTGTATCTATCATTAGGGTAAGGCCCTGTCAGTTGGATTATTCCCTTTATGAGACCTATTTTCTGTCCTTTTTCCCATCTAGGGTTAACCTTGCAGCTGTAAACATAGCAGTTTACAACAGGATTAATCCAGCCTCTAGCTGCTATCTCATTGACAGCCGCTAGAGGCGCTTCCACACTTCTCACTGTGAAAATCACAGGGAGAAGACGCTGACGTCCATAGGAAAGCATTAAGAAATGCTTTCCTATGGACTGATTGAATGCGCGCTGACATCGGAAGAGGGAAGAGAGTTCCCCAGCACTGAGGGAGCCCGGCACTGGAGAAAGGTAAGATTTTAACCCCTTCCTCCCCCTTCAGCCCGGCGAGAGTGGGACCCTGAGGGTGGGGGGGACCTTAAGACTCCATAGTGTCAGGAAAACAAGTTTGTTTTCCTGGCACTATAGTTGTCCTTTAAGGTCAACAATAGCTTTTGCAAACTCAATATGATTGTTCAACAAAACCCTTGTTTCAAATATAAGAGGTATACTTTTCACCTATAGTGTCATTTGTGTCTACTCTAGTCTGAGTGGGCTTGGTATTGACCAGTATCAAAAGCTAAGCAGACTTGTCCCTGATCTGGATGGGAGACCAGTCAGTACTGACACATAAGGTCAACATTAGCTTTTGCAAACTCAATGTGATTGTTTACCAAAACACCCCTAGTTTCAAATATAAGAATCATACTTTTTGCCTTGTGTGTGAAAAGTGGCAGGCAAAAGTTGATAAAATTCACAAAATGGAGACTCTCACATCAGGCACCACTGAGAATGTTCCCTACCCATGGGTAGCTGTTGGGACCTCCAATTAAAATATAGAATATAAGTTCCCATCTAATACTTTATTAATTGAACATACTCAGAGACATGAGGCTCCTGCAGTCTCTAACAGACAATTAACAGTGCAAGAGATAAGGAATTTACGTGCAATAAGGGATACTAAAATCTTTAGACTTCTTTTTTAAGAAACGGTATAGGGAGACTGTAAAGGTGTGGATAGGGCTGCGCATACCAAGTGATTTAACCCCTAAATGGCAGAGAATTGAACAATGGGAAAATGAGCAGTAAGACTGCAGGGGCATTTATACACCAAAACTACCTCATTAAGGTAAAGTTGTTATAGGGATAGTAAGTATGGAAAATCATAAGTGTTACGTGTTATAAATGCCCTCCCCTATACTGTCTTAAACAACACAATTTTAGTATTGAATCCTAGAAGTACTCATCAACCACATTACAGGTCGGTGTAGTTCAACACTAGCAGCCACAAAGGGATGGGTAAGCTCTGCATTATCTCTGGTTAGCGAAGAGCTCTTACTGCAGAATTTTAAAAATAACCCCTGGAAATATAGTTGCCAAAATTAACACTTGATAGAAGTGGGCTCTTTCTGGTAGGTTTATGGCCAGAATAAAAAGGATCTAGTATAGTTGCATGAAAAATATCTTGCCTTTAAAAAACCTATTCTAAATGGACAGGCTCATCCTTTTACATATGCTTTCCATACATTATAGTTAATATATATCATTTAATTAGGAGTATTTAAAATCTGGTAGAAGATTATAAAATATTTTAAACCTGTATTGAAAATTAGATTCTTTGTACTTCCTAAAAGGTATATGGGAAATGTGAACTAGTAACCTAATAAAAAATGTTTTGATTGATAACAAAAGGTTAAGATGCAAAAGGAATAAAATAAAAATATATATATACATATATGAAACCAATAATGAAAAAATTATATCACTTCAAGATTACTCGTGCGTGAAATACCTATTTTCAGGAAACAGGGAAAGAACAATGCTTATTACAGCATTGGATTGACATGTGTGATCATGGTTTGCATACAGTTTATTCTTTGTGTGTGTTTTTCCATAGACACAAGCTGTGTAACTAAATGCCATATCTATCTCCTATTTACATACTTCAAAATCCTGTATCAATGCGGCAGGATATAGGCTTCCAAAAAAATGGGACACTCCTCTCCTTCACTACTGCTATCTCAACATAAATGAATTAATAAAGCAATTTCCTACAACCATTTGATTTCAGGTCAATACATGTAAGAAATATTGCACAGAGTATAATATCATTTTATTATCAAGATTGCATTAATGTAGAAACATACGAAATAGAACATTTAACGTATGGTGAGGAGAAATGTTGACTTTCTGTTCAATCACTCTGACAGTCATTGATATGACAGATGCAACACTCCACGGTCTGCACTGAAGATGGTAAAATTAAAGGACAAGTAGCTTTCACGTGGTTGTGTGATAGACGCATAATCATAATACAACGCTCATGAGATTCTTCTTTGTGATTTGGCCCCTTAATCCTTTTCTACACTGCTGGGGAAAATCATTTCTATGACATGAGATCACTGGCACCATCCACAGAAAATTTAACACCAACTCTTTTATATCCTCGTGAAGTGATGGTTCTAAAAGAATCCCAGCAGCGTCTTTAAACTTTATATCCTAGGTTAATCAGGCTAAAGGACAGTTAACTAGGTTCCCATGAGGACACTTGCTAAACATAAAAAGCAGACGTTGCATAGTTCATCATTTGAAAGTCCAACTGGTCGAATTGCAGAGGAAATGATAAAAGATAGAGTACAAAGCGTGCAGCGCATACACACCAAAAATAAAGTAATACATTCAGCAGGACAATAGCCGTCGAGACATTTCATTGCTTTTTCTGATCTTTAATCCTCCTTTCCTTATTAGAATAGCAAAGGATCCCTCCTCTTTTTCTAGTAAACAGCTAGCAGAGCAGTGCATTCAAAACACTGATCCTTTGATCAACGCAAACTGTCATTTGTACTTGTTTTTTTTCCTAAGCCCGCTCTTGTTCCAAGTTATAAGTAAAATCAGTGCCTCTGAAAGAAATTCCCTAGGTGTCCTGCAAATCATCAATCCTTTTTTTCCCTTTTCCTAGAGAAGCCCACACTCTGTCTACTAAATTCCCTCCTCCCTCTTTTCTCTAGAATTCTACTTCCATTTGATACACAATACAACGTGTCTGTCTGACCTACGGGGACCTCACTGTCTGAGACTCTACCACTATGTGCAGACAGGGGAAGTCTTGGTTTCGACAAGCAACACTACACTCTTATAAAGAGATGAGTGATTTTAGACACAGGCGTAATTATTAATTTAGTTTATCTTTGGTATTTAGCTAAAATTATAGGGAAGATTTAAAAATCACATTTCATATTAGAGCCTTTTTTTGTTTCAATGATACGTTAATGGTAAAGTCCCAAGTCACTGTGTTTGGGGAGCAACATTTAGACTGCAAGTAACTGTTTGCTAATATTCGGCATTCAGACACTTAGCACCTTTCTTTGTCAAAAAAATAGAATAGTCAGCGCTCAGAAAATATTGCCGGTTTCATAAATTTGATATAAATTTTAAAGAAATTTCAGTTAAATATGGAGAATTTGATTTCTAAGATTATTATTATTTATAAAACATCAAAATATTCCGTTGCTGTGTACGGTAAGATCGACAATTTTTTTTTTTTTTTTTAAATGTCCGATTGACATTTACAATAAATTTGATTATGAGGGCTTGAAGTCTGGAATTATTTACATAAATAACAATTAGGGAGGGATCAGATTCTTTTGTATTCAGGAAACTATGGATCTATTTCATTATTTTCATAAACATTTAAGATGGGAAGTGAGGTTTAGTAAAATATTGAGCATATATTTTATATAATCAGTATACACATGTTTATATGTATTTATAAAACAGGTCTAACGTCTATGCTGTTGGTACAAGTAAAATCACCCCACAACTGGTTAAGGTAGACAGGAGTTTCTGTCGATATCACCTGGTATCACCCTCAGCCCCAGTTTGTTACCCGTCTATCCATGATTTACACGTTGCAGTCCACATAGCACTAGACAGGAGCAAGTCAGACTACTGTCTTTATTTTTTAGTTGTTTTCATGGGAATAGCCATCCACAGCAAAGGCAGTAGTAACACAGTCTAACTATCTATGCTTTGAGACAGAGAGCTATTTAGTGAATACACATCCTTGTTGGCTGCTAAATGTCAAACTGCAGTGGAAAGAAATACAGCATTGCAGTAGTACTGCTCTGATGCGCCCACTAGGGAAATAGCAGCTATTAAGTGGAAAATTCCTGCAGAGGACGTATTTCCATTTCTAATGCGAAGAAAGAGTCTGTTGTCTGTTTAAGGTTGACAGGTTTGTGGAATACACAGAAAAATACAAGGAAAGATGACAAAATTACCTCATTGAACTCAGAGAGCTTAAGCAAACACATATTTTGCAGCCAACATACAACATTTGTGTAGTGCTTACGTCCAAACAACCACCTGATTTTGGATGCGGCACCTACATCCCTGTGGCTGGAGTTGTGTGTTTTTATTTTTGTCCATATTTAACATGTTTTCGGGAAGGTGGAATCACTGCTCAGAATAACAAGTGAACCAAATAAAGCTGCATAGGTGTTTACTGTGGCAACATTTTCAGTATTTCTTTTCTTTTTTTTCTTTTGTTTGCATTGGATAAAACATACAGTGAGGCATTTTACAGACCTGCCAAATCTTATTTTATACCTCCCAGTTCAATCTAACTCTGCTTGGTTAAAAAACAAACAAACAAAAAATCCTATCCTTTCTGAAAAAAATAATCAAACAATGGGCTATATCTCATGTCATGAAAACACTTAAGGATACATGATTAACTGCTCAAAGGCTTTTAGATATCCTTTAATATGATCAAATTCCAAATTTTAAATGGAAACTATATTCACCAGAACAACTACCTTATTGTTGTTGTTCTGGCGTCTATACCATGTGCCTGCAGGCTTTTTGTTGTGAAAACTCACTGAAAAGGCAACTTTTACATTGCAGTCTATCAACACCTCTAGTGGTCATTCCTCAAATGGCCACTAGAGGTGCTTCCTGGGGCAGTTCTGCACACTGTGAACTTACCTCATAGAGTTGCATTGATTCAATGCATCTCTATAAGAAGATGCTGATTGGACAGGGCGGCCAATGGGAAAGCATTGTGATTGGCTGAGATCATCAGTTCTGATTATGTCAGCCAAGGAAGCGGATCAGAACTGGAAATAAGGTTAGATGTTACTATATTAAGGGAGGCAAGGAGGAGAGATAGTTATTTTAATACTATAGGGTCGGGAATACATGTTTGTGTTCCTGACCCTATAGTGTCCCTCTAATGTTTATATTAAAATACATATTAATGTGTTTTTTAATTTTTTATTTATTTATCACTTATTTTTCAATATGTGAATTATAATCTCCTTTTATTTACAAGAAGGGGCACTCATTAAAGATGGTAGACTGCATCCACACTAGCCTCTTCTATTAATGCACTAAGAATTCTCACTACTTCCTAATATGTCCTAATATTATAGAGCAATATCCACATCCCATACACTATCTATGTCAAATCATCAATGCATTCCAAATTATTAGAGTGCTCCTTTAATTTTCCAACAGGTAAGATTTTGGAACCCCTTTTAACAGTTTCTTCCAACGTGTTCGGAACAAAACAAAAATCAAAACCAGGCCATATCTAGGAAGGCAGAATATATGCAAAATGATGCATACCAATACAGCTATTAAACCACTAATAAATATTTTATTATATGATTTAGACACTCAGTGCAAGTACAATTGTCCAATATACACAAAACACACAACAAAAGTGACAGGGGCTATGGCCATTAGAAACCAAACAATAGCGTATTGGTATAACACTTACACAGAAAGCCTCTATAGAGCGCTGGACATGTGTAATTCTACACCCCCAACGTTTCAGCCCCTAACTGTGTACATTTCTCAAAGGACATCATATGGTATTGTACTTGCGTTGTGTGTCTCAATTATTTAATAATGTATTTATAAGTGTAATAGTAAGAGCTTTTCCCATAGTAATGCTGCATACAGGCATTATTCAGTTGTATTTGTTCCTTATCTCTATTTTTCACATTACTCTCATACAATGAATATGCAGTATACTCTATGTATAAATTCCAATAAAATACAAATTGCACAACAAAACATTGATGAATCATGCAGTTAAACATTGATGGAAATATTACTTATATTTAAGGACCACCATTGTAGTCTGAATTAGAGATACAAGCTCAAGATGATATGACATTTTCAAGGTCCTCATTTTACCACCAATAACAAAAAAAATAAAAACACAGCTGCTCAAAGAGGCAACAGAGTTGCAAAAACAAGCATGGGCACATTCTCCAATTGGTCTTGAATCAGAGAGGATACCAAACATCGGAATCAAGTTCAGGGATTTCTTATGTGAATCTGAATTACTCATGTCTTACAGGACAGAAAATGGAAAAAAACAAAAAAAAAACGCAAGTGAAAAGGAAATGCCAAATCCACTCTACATTTAACTCTCTCGTAAACTGATCAGGAGATGGTCACATACTTAGTATTTGTCATTTGGGACCATTCTGGAAACCAAATATTGGAAGAATGGCTTGGCAAAAGAAAAAAATGGACAATGGGAAAAAGGCACAAATGCAAATTGCAGCAAGAATAAAAAAAATAAAATATTGCCAGGACCGCTGCTCATAGTCCCTTTGGAGGACAGAGGTAACTACTAACTCCACTGCAGAACAAGGCAGCCTTTAAGGCATGAAAAACCTTACTGTATGCAGGGGCCCGGTGAAGCACAGGATCCACTTTGGGCTCTTTAATGCTAACTGATCTACTTGTAAAGATAGAGTATCCTCCCAGTCTTAAAATAATTAGATTCTGCAATGCCTAGATATAAAAATGTATATCTTACTCTAGTAATAGTTAGCATATTTTTCACTTTTATTGCATTACTGGTAAAGTTTAAGAAAAAATTGGTTCAATATGATACTAAAATTTTAGAATATACTTGATTGCTCTGGCTTAAATAGCACAGAGTCTAGCTATAACATTTATACCACTTTAGACTCATCTGGTTAATGAAAAGTAGACTTTTACTCATGCGTGAAAGAGCTATTAAACCTAACCGTTTTATATAATGAAACAATGTCTGGGGTTACATCACACATGTAATAGATTTATAATATATCATAGTTGAAGATATTCACTCCCATCATGATTTTAAAACAATCTTCTCAAAGATTGGTCTGCAGTGTTGACAATTCTGTGGATTTAAAACTAGCTTAGTAAGGATATATTTACTGAAATTGGCCTTCCTCTACATTTGTAAACTACGTCATATGATGGCAGATTGTACAATATTGGATAATGAATTTATATGACTGGCTTGCACTATACATCTATAACATGATTATGAACACATAACAAAGTTATGATCAAGAGATCTGTGCGGCTAAAATCCTCAGAAGATACATTTAAAAATGGCTTTTTCCCAGGAACTGTAGCAGGTCAGATTACCATGGTAACCCCAGTTGTTAAATATAAATTCATAAAAGAAGTTTGAACTCGAAGGGTCATAGTCTCAAAGGATGTTGGATTTTAGCATTACATTAATAAAATGTACACAGGCATCAAGAGGGATGTCTGCTGGATTGTAAAATGTTGCATATGGCTCTATTATTTCTCCATGTTCCATCAACAGCTAAACCATTAAATATTAAAAAAAAATTATGCTGCTTTCTGCAAAACATTAGCAAATCATTTTGTCCAACTTACTGGAAAAAGAAGAAAAAAAGAATCAAAACAAAATCATCCGGATTTTTGAGCTTTTGAGAAGTCAATAAAATACAATTTAATTTTCAATTTTTAAAAGATTTTTCTGACAATTTACTGTACAATCTAATGCCATAGTAATATGTGCCCTGATTATATATATGCCTCAAAGGTAGGACTGCAACCCAATG